TATTTTTAAGTAATCTCTACATCCAACATGGGGCTCGAACTCATAACCCTGAGATCAAGTGTTGCATGCTCTACCGGCTAAGCCTGCCAGGTGCCCCTGTCTGTTTTTTTATATCACCTATAGTTTCTGCTTTAGGAAAGTTGCCACTCTGTTATTTTCTGTATAGTTATTCATATGTGTTACATCTGCATTGCAAATTGTATTCTTTATTTTAGCATTTTTAAGTGCTCTTCTTTGTCTCATTTCATGCTTTTGGCCTGCATCTCCCCTTTCAAAATCTTGACTCTTTCTTTCTTTTTATTTGCATTTGCTTAATTTATCCTTATTCACATATTTTGCTGTATATGTGTCTCTTGACTATACACATAGAGTTGAGGGGAGCCTGGGGGGCCCAGTCAGTTAAGCGTCTGACTCTTAATTTCGGCTCAGGCCATGATCTGCTGGTTTGTGAGTTTGATGCCCCCATCAGGTTCTGTACTGACAGTGGGGAGCCTCCTTGGGACTCTCTCTCTCTACCTCTCTGTCTTCCCCTCCCTGTGCATGCTCTCTCTCTCAAAACGAATAAAATAGGGGTGCCTGGGTGACTCTGTCCTTTAAGCTTCCAACTCTTGGTTTCGGCTCAGATCATGATACATGATACATGGTTTGTGGGATGGAGCCCCCACATCGGGCTCTGCACTGACAGCACAAAGCCTGCTTGGGATTTTCTCTCTCTCTCTCTCTCTCTCTCTCTCTGCGCCCCCCCCCCCCCCACACTGTCTCTGTCTCTCTCAAATAAATAAACTTAAAAAGATAAAAATAAATAGGGGCACTTGGGTGGCTCAGTTGGCTAAGTGTCTGACTTTGACTTAGGTCATGATCTCGTGGTTTGTGGGTTTGAGCCCCGTGTTGGGCTCTGTGCTGACAGCTCAGAGCCTGGAGCCTGCTTCAAATTTTGTGTCTCCCTCTCTCTCTGCCTCTCCCCAGCTCCCTCTCTCTCTCTCTCTCTGTCTCAAAAATAAATAAACTTAAAAAATAAATACATACACACACACACATACATACATATATAAAATAGAGTTCAGTTTTGCTCTGTGAGCAAATCTAGTGTTTTTTAATGAGTTAAGCCATTTGCATTTATTGATATGGCTGTTAGGACAATTATGTTTGACTTTAACATAATTTGCTTATGTTTTTTGTTCTACGTGTCCTCTATACACATATGAATATATGAATATATGAACAGAAGTACAAACATTCATATGTGCATAGATACATATGTGTGTGTGCATGTGCGTGTATATGCTTTTCAACGTGTGGTTTACTTTTTTTTTATTTTTATTTTTTGGACTTTATTTTTAAGTAACCTCTACATCCAACATGGGCCTTGACCTCAACCCTGAGATCAAGGGTCTTGTGCTCTTCCAACTGAGCCAGCCAGGTGCCCCTCCACTCTTTCCTTTTTAGTTGTAGTAGTTCTTACACTGAGGAAGCTTTGTGTTTTTGTGCTAGTTGTACATAGTTATCAACTACTGCTTAACAAGGGTACCACAAAGTTAGTGGCTTAAAACCATACACGTTTTATCTCACAATGCCTGTGGGTCAAGAGTCTGGGTTGGCTCAGCTGGCCCCGTGCTTCTGGGTCTCTTACAAGGTTGTAGTCAAGGTGCTAGGGCTGAGGTCTCATCTGAGTTGTGACTGGGGAAGGATCTATTTCCAGCCTTACATCGATGCCGGCAGGACTCACTTCTCTGTCAGACAGGGACTTCTCTATCTCAGTCCCTTGCTGGCTGCTGGCCAAGGCCACTCTTGCCACATGACTTCTCTGTATGGTGGTGGTGGCTCTCTTCATCAAAGCCAGCAAGCCAGCAAGGAAGGGTGTTAGTGGAGAGTCCATCGGCAAGATGGGACTTACAGTCTTATGTCACTACAGAAGTGACAGCCTGTCACCTTTGCCACACGCTGCTGGTAACTCAGCCATGCTTTGTTCTTTCTCGCTTCCGCACCTGTACCACGACTAACATAAGAGATGATGCGATATCTTCTGTTAACATCAACCTAAAATCAAGACTAACCTTTCCAGCTGTCTATCTCTTACATTGCTTTTGAGTTATCTTTTCTCCTCAAGTTGTGTGGTCTGTTGTTCCAGATGGTGGAGTGAGGACTGACAACGTGATGTTAGACGTGAAGCAGGAACTCTGTGAAGAAACAGAGCCTTGTGGGAAGGGGCCTGATGGACAGGATGGAACTTCATCTCAGCATGCCAAATACACAGGGGACAGGGAGCCCAGTGGAACTTTGGAAAGGCAGGACGGGGTTGCCCCAGGCAGAAAAGTCTCTCCCTGTGAAGAATGCAGGAAAACCTTCACCTGGACAAGAGGCCTTCACACGCACAGGAGGACCCACAGCGGGGAGACACCATGCTCACACACAGAGCGTGGAGAGGCCTTCATCAGACAGTCAGAGCTAAGCCAGCACCAGGAGCTTCGTGGCAAGGAAAAGCCTTATCACTGTCAAGAGTGTGGCAAAGGTTTCAGTCAGAAAGCAGGCCTCCTCCAACATCTCAAAAGCCACACTGGAGAAAAGCCATATCGATGTAGTAAATGTGGCCGGTGTTTTAGTCGGAGATCAGTTCTTACAAAGCATCAAAGTGTCCACACTGGAGAGAAACCTTTTGAATGTACAGACTGTGGAAAAGCCTTCTGCCATAGTTCAGACCTAACTGAACATCAGCGATTCCACAAGGAGAAGCCTTATGAATGTAACGAGTGTGGGAAAACCTTCCGGCAACGTTCACATCTGATTGAGCATCAGCGAATTCACAGTGAAGAAAAACCCTATGAATGCAAAGTGTGTGGAAAAGCGTTCACTCAGTATGCAGGACTTAACCAACACCAGAGAATCCATACTGGAGAGAAACCTTTTGAATGTCCTGTGTGTGGACGCGCCTTTAGCCGGACCTCAGAACTCATAATACATCACAGAATCCACTCGGGGGAGAAACCCTATGAGTGTGCTGAGTGTGGCAAAACCTTTAGCGTGAGCTCAACCCTGGTCATACATCAAAGAAGCCACACTGGGGAGAAGCCCTATAAATGCGGTGAGTGTGGCGAAGCCTTCAGCCAACGCTCGGGCCTTAATAAGCACAGGTTGGGAGGGAAGCACGGGAACCCCCCTGAGCGAGGAACACACAAGTGTGGTGAGTGTGGGAAGACCTTCACTCGGTCGACCGGCCTGCGGAACCATACAAGAATCCACACTGGGGATAAAACCTACCAGTGTCCTGAGTGTGGGAAGGCCTTCACCAGGGGCGAGCATCTTATCGAACACCAGGCGATTCACAACAAGGTAAAGCCCTATCAGTGTAAAGAGTGTGGCAAAACCTTCAGTCAGAAGACGGGTCTTAGTCACCATGTCAGAATCCACACGGGAGAGAAGCCTTTTCAGTGCCCGGAATGTGGGCGCGCCTTCAGTTGGAAGTCAGATCTCAAGAAACATAAGAGAGTCCACTCGGAGGAGAAGCCCTATGCGTGTGAGGAGTGTGGGAAGGCCTATAGGCAGAGAGCCACGCTGCTCCAGCACCTGAGGGGCCACAGGGAGCTGAGCCCGGCCGGCCGAGTGAGTGCGGGGAATCCCCCTGGGGGCCCCCACCCAGTACCAGAGAATCCGCTGCACCCTGACACCCCGCCCAGGCGTGAGGTGAAAACTGCGGGGAGAATCCACGACTCCTTTTCTTAACTGACATAAAATGTTTCTTGAACTTCATTATTTAAAGAAAACCAGAGATGCCACATTGGAAAGTTTTTATAGGAGCGCTGCGGTGGCTCAGTCGGTTAAGCATCCAACTTTGGCTCAGGTGGTGATCTCACCATTCATGAGTTCGAACCCCATGTTGGGCTCTGTGCTGACAGCTCAGAGCCTGGAGCCTGCTACGGATTCTGTGCCTCCTTCTCTCTCTGCCCCTCCCCTCTTACACTCTGTCTCTCTCTCAAAAATAAATAAACTTGGGGCACCTGGGTGGCTCAGTTGGTTAGGTGTCCGACTTCAGCTCAGGTCAGTATCTCACAGTTAGTGGGTTCAAGCCTTGCATCGGTCTCTGTGCTGACAGCTCAGAGCCTGGGGCCTGCTTCAGATTCTGTGTCTCCTTCTCTGTCTACCCCTTGCCTGCTCATGCTCTGTCTCTGTCTCTCTCTCTCTCTCTCTCTCTCTCTCAAAAATAAACATTAAAAAACAAACAAAAAAATTTAAAATAATAATAAATAAATGTACTTAAAAAATAAGTTTTTATAAAGGTCATAAATGCTGGAAAAGTTGAGAATTTAGAAAAATAAACGTCAATAAGCAATTTACATGTGATTACCTTTATTAAATGCAACTAAGTATCAGTTAATAGGATGAAAAGTCCACAAGGGAAGCTATAAAAAAAATTATATTTTCTACTGAATTCATATGTTTTCATGTAGTGTGTTTTCAACCCATTCTAATGCCTCACTAGCTTTAGCCTAGCCCTGCGTTGAAATTACTACTCTGAGTACCGGCCCCCGGGACACTACAATGTCCAAGTTTGGAATGTGTGGAATGTGCGAGGTAAGTTGTCTTGTTTCCTTCCCTCCCTAAGCACGCCCTTAGCCACAAGTGGGTGGCCTGCAGACCCTTCCTGATCTCCACCCTTATAATTAGCATTTCCTGATGAAGAAAGGATGTGTTATATAGTTT